AATTGGGTTTCGCAGATCCGATTGGCATGATCCATGAGGGTTTTGATAATGCCTCTTTTCTGACGTGGGTGGTGGGAAGATGCCGGTCACAGGTGCTGGTGAAACGTTAGGAAACAAAACTTCAAGAACACGGCCACACAGCCCGGAAGACCCACACCAGCCATCCTATTTTATTTTAATTTAAATAAAATCAGGGGTGTCTACAGAATATAATCAAAAAAGTCAAGATGGTTGACCATGACAATGTGATTGAAGCTCCGCTTGTGTGACACACATGAAAAACAGGTGGAGCTTCAATCACACCGTAATTGCCACCACCTTGAATTTGTTAACCATACAACAGAGCAACAGAGTAACAGAATAACAGAAATTTTAAAAATAACAGAATTCACCAAGGCCAATCAACATGTATCTTGTTCAAGTTCTTTCATTTCAGCAGGGCTCATTGCCTATTCTGGCCAAATGCCCATGGGAAGAACCAGATTTTCAGGGTCTTATGGAAGGACAGAAGAGTTATTATGGTCATATATATGAATTTATTATTTAAAAGAGACTTTATTTTCAGGAAGAACCATTCCCTAATTCCCTACACCCAAACAAGCTTCTGTAGAACCATAGTAAGTTAGGTAGCAGATTTTCCCAGCCTCCAGGAAGACCCTCTTACTCCTTAGCTTCTTTTGTGGCCAGAAACTGGGTTGGATGGGACTATGGGCTGAGTTCTCCTTCCCCAGTGTCTTCTCAGCCTAGCCGCCTCCTAGACCTGGACAGGAAGAATAAAATAGCCTGGACAGTTTGACTCAATTCAAAATGTAATTAGCTGTATAAGAAGAAATACTCATGTTCTGTATGTTTGAAAATACCCACAAGCATCACTGACAACTAGGGATCTTTTTATGAAACAAATGACTTGGAGAAAAACAGCATGCAAGATTTGTCCTCAGCCAAACCAGGCTGTGTGTCCTAATAACAGACTAGGAGCTGAGAAATGAGTAACACATGACTTCCTCGAGTGCTTAGCTCTTATGGTTGCAGACAGATTTGGTTCTTATCACAATAGGCATTCTGCTTCATTAATTATGCAATTACCTTATTATTGAATTAACAATATCAATTACCCAACCTATTTAATGCACAGCAAATTGTTCACTCACTAATCCACATCTTTGCTTCTCATCCTTTGCTGCTCCACGTTAGTTGTTTGAAAAAACAGGTGCTTAAAGTTTTAGCTCAGGCAAAAGGTTTACCAGTTGGTGGTTAAATATTTACTTCTTCCTTGCTTATGAGGATAAAGGAACACTGTCAGGTTCTTTATGTTTCAATGAATCACTTATTTTTCATGCTTCAAAGTTAGGGACACAGTGGATGCTTGCTGGCTGGTGGCCAGATGTTTGATGCTAATTACTCCTCTGAATACTTATTTCTTTGCTCCTGCTGCTTTCTTATAGAATTATAATTCCATTGGAGGGCACCATGGACATCACTTAGAGCAGGGGTTTTCATATTTTTTCAGGCCGTAGAATTGGTTAATTAAAAAACAATCCCTGAATCCCTGATTAAGAGGCAAAGCTCTAGTGATACAAAATTGGCTACATTTGAGATTTGAATCAACTTTTTTCGTCCTGAGGCTGTCATAGGACCCCAAGTTCTCACAAACCTCTAGAATTCTAGGGAAGAGAGTTTAAAAAATCTGATTTAAAGATAGGACA